TTCTCATTTTCTCCCACTTATGTTTACTTAAGCGTTTGAGGGTTAACCTCTTAATAGGGAGAAGAAGTATATGGCTGAGGTTGACAATCTGGAGGGGAAATACAAAGACTGGCAGAAGAAACTGCATCCTGATCTAGTTCATTCAAAATCCGAGGTTTGTTCTATTATTTCAAACAGCTAAAGCAGATGATGAATGCTGTGAGTTCCTTATGACTTTGCTTTAGTACTTTCTATATTTTCGTCAGAGAGAGAGAGAGTATGCTGCTGAGCAGTCTGCCAGGGTTATTGATGCATACAGGACGATTACCAAGCCACTTTCAAGGGCAAAATATATGGTAAGTGTGTCTAGATATGGGCATTTATGCTGCTTATATATTGTTGTGGTTGGAGATTTCTTGCGAATTGTAAGATTCTGCATTGAATCTAATTTCTTTTCTTCCTGAACTTAGTGCATCTTACTCTTGTCTGTTGGGTGAAGGAGCTACGAATTTCATACTTCTGCAAGGGTTGGTGGTGTTGATTCTATAATCTGTATTATGCTAATTTTTAGCCTTAAGTCTCTTCATTGTGACTCAAGGATTCAAGCAGCTAACTAAACAAAGCACTTAATTCTAATAAAAAATTTGAGACTGAGAACTACTAAGTTCTTTCTAAAAAAATATATAAAGAAAATGAATAAGTTCTTGTTGAAAGGATATCAGTTTGCATCACGTTCAATTCTCATTCCATTCTCACAAAATTCTTACCTGTACTCTTCATATTTTTGTATTGTTTTGTCATGTTGAGTTAGAAAATTGTTTGTGTTTAATCTCACTTCTACCTGGCCTTCAGTAACTTGGAAGTGGGAATCCAAATTCCTTTGGATTAAAAGTGAGAATTGGATTCACATCTCCAAGGAATTCAAGGCCGTGGTTAAGCCCCCTGCAATTCTTTGGAAGGGAGAATTGAATTCCCACCTCGAAGGATTTCAAGGTAGTGGTTGAGGGATGGGATAAAAATATGACATGTTTTAAGAGTAATATGGAAAAGAAGGTTAGGAATTAAGTGGGAGTAAAATGAGGATTGAACTAACACATAACCTATTTTTAGAATCCATGTAGAAGTAGTAAATCTTACACTTACTTTTTTTTGGGAACTTATGCTAAGAATGGGAACTTTCTGATTGAAGATATTGATAGTTTAGTACACTTTCTTTATCAACCAATAGATGGGTATGTAATTGATAGTAGGCAGATGATCAAAGTGCTAGCTGTAACAACATTCAAGCCCTATTGATTTCTGCTGTCACTGCAGCATTTGTGGTCTTATTGATAAGTGCTAGCTGTGACTGTAGTTGCATTATGTGCTTGCATTGTTCGGTGGAAAATAAATTGAATTTTTGAGGACTATAAACATTGTGGTTGTTGAGAGAGCTGGATCTCACTTATGGGTCTTGACCTTGTGATATAGATTTGATGCTGCTGGAAGGAGACTTCATGGATCAGTTTTCCATGTAGAGCTTTCTTTTGTGTTCTTTCTGTGTATTTTTTTTTTGCCATTATTTATTAGCTTTCTAATGGTCTGCAGAACTAAGACATACTGCCTATTTTTCTTTAATAGATGAAGCTTGATGGTTTAGATGTTAATGAAGAAGAGACAATTTCAGAACCAGAGTTACTGGCTGAGGTAAGCTATAGGAATTTATGTGGCTTAGAGGTGAAAATTTATTTATATCACTTGGGTATTTGACCACTCAATGTAGTTCCGCAGAATGGTCCGTGCATCTTTTTCTCATAGTAAACATTTTGGTAAGAGTGATGGGGGAAGAGAAGATTATTTCCCTTGTTCATATCCAACAGGAGCTGTGTCTTCCCTTATGGCTGTTTCATTACATGAAATTTTTTATGTTTAATGGAGTCCTAACCAA